AAACGGCCGAACACACTGACCGATACTAGAGTGTACTCACTTTTTGAGTACACAAAGCAACGTCTATCAACAGCAATACAAACTGAATGTAAAATTTATGGAGCTCCTGCTAAATATTCATATTTCGGGGAAGTTTCATGTTATACATGAAAACTGTTTTTGAAGCAAACTCCTGAACATGGAAAATTTCATTTAAAATAAGCATTTTTTTTTCTTTTTACTATATTCATTAGTTCAGTTTTTTTTTGTTTCTAGGAAGCATTGAAATGTCGCTATGATGGTCATTGTGAAATAATTGTCATGTATGTTCTTATTGTCGACTGATCAAATGCTTTTTAGTAGTGGAATGTGAATTGCGTTGATTCGATCTTCGTTTTGAAAAAAACAATAAAACTAATCGGACAAGAAAATTAATTTACACTACTGGCCAAAAGTATCCTCTCCCTCGGATCTTAGGTCCTATGAGAGCTAAACATCTGACAATGTGTACATTGGTAGTACACAAATAATGTAGATCAATGATAACCTCAGGACTAAAATTGTTCAAGCAAGAATGGAGTTATAACAAGTGACATCTACCATCCTTGTGAATATCATAAGTCAAGAACAAAAGAGCCTTCTGAGTCATGCAACACCTAATTTTGAAGATGTACATTACAACTACTTCTCTTATAAATTTTATCGAATTTTATCAAGCTATTGATGAATTAGGTCGTTTTTACTGAAAACATGCATAAACAAAAAAACAGTAAAGTGCCATTGAGTGATCAATAACTCAACAGTAGTTTGATAAATCAATCTGAAACTTTGAGGAAATGTTCTACTATAGCTGATCATGTTATTCTGAAAGTTTCAGAAGTAAACACTTTTATGAACGAAAATAGCTCACCAAAAATCATTGAGAACTTGTCAGTATTCTGGAGTCTTCATACCTGAAGTAAATGGGATCATCTTTTGACTAATGAAGAAGCATCAATTGGGCTACATCTTCGTGATCAAGATCAGTAGATTCTTCCATATTACTATGAAAGTAAAACAAAAATCACGAAACCTATACTTTGCTATTTTTCTGCCTAATGGAGCAATTATCATAATTTGTCAAAATTTGACTGAAAAAATCGTTTCAGACGTTTCGAAGTTCTTAAGAAACGATAAAGTCTAGCTGTCTTCGTCCAAGCACGTAATATTGGGTTTGAAGTTGCTGCAAATTTTATTAAAACTACCACAGATACTTTCAAGTATGAAAGTCTCTAGTAATTATCCTATAGAAGCCTTGAAAGCATAATCTTTCTCTAGCATTACACAAACCGTCGTCTTATGTACTACAATTCACTATCAAATTTTGCCAAAAAACTGTATAGATGTCTAGAACAAGATGAATTCTTTTGTTTTATCAAACGCTAAAGCCATCCAAATCATTTTCTCAGTCAAATTTTGACGAATGAAGATAAATTCTCGATTAGGCAGAAAAAAAGAAAAGTATAAGTTCCGTCATTTTTGTTTTGTTTTCATAGTAATACATAAGAATTTATCGATCTTTTATCAAGAGTGTGTAGCTCAACTAATGCTTCTTCATTTGTCAAAAGATGTGCCCACTTGTTTCAGGTTTGAAGACTTCAGAGTTCTGGCAAGTTCCTAATGGTCTTCAGTGAACTATTTCCGTTCACAAAGCGTTTGATTCCGAAACTTTCATGACACCATGACAATCCATGGTAGACCATTTCCTGAAAATCTCAGATTGCTTTATTAAACTACTGCTAAGTTATTCACCACTCAATGGCACTACTGTTTTTTTGTTTATGCATGTTTTAAGTAAAAACGATCAAATTCATCAATAGCTTGATGAAATTTGATAAACTTTATAAGAGAAGTAGTTGTAATGTAGGCCTTCAAAATAAGGTATTGCGCGGCTCAGAAGGCTCTTTTGTTCTTGAGTTACGAGATTCACAATGATCGTGAACGCCACTTATTATAACTCCATTCTTGTTTGAGCATTTTTAGTCCTGCGGTTACCATTGATCTACATTATTTATGTACTACCCATGTACACATTTTCAGACGTTTAGCTCTCGTAGGACCTAAGATCCGAGGAGGAGGGATACTTTTGGCCAATAGTGTAATTCTCAATTGTATGCATAAGGGACATATAAATATGGATGTGCATCTGAGTGTAAATATCTCCGAGGATGTCAACTTACATGTCGTGTAGTACTCTACTTCATTTATTCAACACAAATAACTTACTACTATACATCCACATCTACCAAGACGTCATACTCGCACACCACATCAGTACATAGACACCCATATTCATATTAAACATCACGGTTGGATACACATGTGATAAAAATGATGAATCGTGGATATATTTGACATGCATTTTAGCAGAGAAAAACATCGATAAAAACACATAACTTCTGATAATTGATTAACACCAATCTTGCAAATTGTTAATGAAAGTACTTTTTGCAAGGAAGAGTATAAGTCCTGAAATTCTCTATCGAAATACATATCTGGTATCAACATTTGTTCTTCTATGCATTTTAATATGACTTAAGTGTCACTTTTTTCGAATTTTGTTATTGTTCACCGTGATATAAGTGACAAATAACGATTCGTGGATGTTTAACTATTATAGATAGTTTTAAGCATGTAAAAAGAGAATAGAATTTTTAAAAACTTTCTTTGATAATGATTCGATGAAAAACTATGCTTTTGTATAAAGATATATTAAAGGTCTTTCAAGTAGAATTTCATAATATCGCTGAAATTGACATGTTTTCAATGATGTCTGACTGTAATGACAGTAACAGTTATGGACGAAAGCTATTTTACCATCTTAGTCTCAAAATATCTATTGTGAAATTTTCTATCACTGAAAATAACAATAAACTCATTGATACTATTTTGGAAATGCCTTACATCACAACATACATCGTTCTCTGCATAAAAGCATCAATAATAGAAAGAAAAAAAAACGAATCATTTATGAGAATAAAAGCCGAAGTCTTGACAGAGTTTCAACTAAGATGGATGAGAAATATCAGTCAAAACATTGCTGGAAATCATTATTTGTTACGCTGCAAAAAAAAAGAGAAATTTTATTTGATCTTGAGAGTTTTTAATAAAAACCTAGTGATTAGTGGCAAATATTCTATATCTGTCATTTTGTTTTATACAATGAATTCGATAAAAACAGGGATGCATCCGATGTACACTATTTAAATCACCAATTCGATCATCAGTGGTCAACATTTCTCTGATGTAACAATCAAATCGAGACAAATAATGAAGTCGGTTGATCAAACCATCTGCTAAATGAATAAATGATGTACGATATACTGTTTGTACATACAAATATTCAATATTGGGTGTATGAAGAAGAAGATTGTCAATATCATTAAAAGTTAGTTCGGTATAATTACTCCAAAGAGTCAGTCGTCGCAGTGGATGATTTAGTGGTGCAGACGTTGTAAATATTTTAGTATTGGTGTAGAAAGTATAAACTTGAAAATGATGAAGATTGGGACATGAAGCAAGAATAGCTAGAGTAGATGTTGCTGTACTATAAAGGATTGACACAGACTGAAGAGACGGTGACGTAGCCCATGAACTACAAGTAGAGTTATGGATACGACCTAGATTAACATGATGAAGAGATGGAAATTTATTGGAGAATACATCACGAACTAATTGCCTTGGTAGAACGAATCGAGATCCTAATAAAAACGATAGGTAAGTCAGATTGGGAATAACTTCAGGCTTAATTTGTTCTAGATGTCTCGGGTTGCTATTAAACAGTATCAATGTATATAAATTTGAAAATTGACCAAAATCACAAGTGTTAGATGTTTGAACTATCAATTGATTTACGTAAGAAGCATAGAAGTTCATCAATAATGAATCAATGTTTTCATCGACAGTTAGAGATCGATTTTTAGAGAACTTAAAAATATTGTTCAATCGTGAGTTGAGTCCCCAAAAAGCACTATATAAATTCTGCATGTCGATAAAAGTAAATAAATAGAGAATTATTTCATTTGGAAGTTTTTCCAACGTTGTACATGTACCTAAAACAAATTTTTCAAAAGTTAAAATAAGTTGATCTCTAAAAAGATAAAACATAGGCATGTTTTGATATCTTAAATTTTAAAGACTTCTTTCGATCAATTTCAACAATTAAGAAATGATTATTGTAAAACGTGACACTAAACGTACTAGATGAGATTTGTGTTAATATTATCAGTGTAATTATTTCAATGATAGAATATTTTCCACACTATTGTAATGATAATATTAGACTATAGCCTTATTTAACCCTTTTCGGTCAGATGTTGTCACTTCGCAACATTGAGTCAATATTTTGAAAAAGGTGTTAATTGTAGTGAAGATATATAATGTTTTTACGGTTCGATAATAACTGCATCCCATGTCAGAAGATACTCATGGTCCAGAAAATATTAAGCAATATGTCTTCTAACAAGATGCTCGGACTTATCCGCAACGCCCCAAAGCAACAGCTGAATCTTGAAAAACTATGTTTCTCATGCGTTCAAGCATTCAGTATTGAAAGTCATTAGTGGTATACTTCCCTCCTTAGATCTATTAAATATTGCAACGTTCAAAAGAGTCATTCAGTAAATCAGTAGAATAAAAGTATGAATGTTATCCTTTAACAACAGCCAATCGAAACGAGTCAGAACTTTGAACAATTCAGTTTTCGTTTAAGACTATCAAATTGCACTACTCTGGACTATTTTCATTTATTCAAAAAACCAACAGAAGCAAAAAAAACGTTACAAATGTATATAAGATGCTTCCATGTAATTTCTTCTAGAGTCAAATCAAATTTTTCCTCGCAAAAATCGACTAAGTTAATGTTCAGCATGAAGTGTTTAGATGATAGTGAACGGTTTTAGACATTCGTATAGGCGTTGGTATAGATTTTCTATCTAACTATACCCACGTTCATATCCGAATCTAATATCAGTTTATATATCACTTACCAAGCACTACGAGGCAAACATGCTTGAGTCTTATAAAAAAAAAGTTGATTTAAATCTAGTAGACGCTGAATATCAGCATCATATATGCATTGGTAACCTTTCTTTGTTCTCTCGGCCTTTTGAATAAATGAAAAAAGTACAAAATAGAATGATTTTATGATTTAAAACGAAAATTAAATTTTTCAATATTTTGATCCTTTCCGGTAGATTGTTGCCTAATGGCAACATCAAATCATTAAATGCAGAAACATTTTTTTGTTTCAGAAGATACACTTTTGCTATCGTACAGTAGAGCAACAAAAAATAAACAGGAAAGGATATTTCAGATATTTGACTTCTGAGTGCCAGCTGGAAAGGTTACTAGTAGATTTTATGACAAAAAATTGAATGAAATTAATTAAGCATTTAAAGATATTTTCGTCGCTACTCATTAAAAAATTGAAATCTTTTTCTCATCATTGCACGTGCGTATTACTTACGGTCTTGAATAAGTTCGACATTATTTGCATTCTGTCTAACTTTGATATCATTATTTGAATCCTGAATAGTAATTTCTGGTGTCATTGTGTCTGTTTCCAGCTTCTAAAATAAAATATGAATGTCTTATCAGAATAATTGTTTATCAGCGCTCAGTATATGAAGTATGAAGTTAGCTTTTACTCTTTCCTTTTGAGATTGTACAATTGAATTTCAATATGCATAAATGCAGTCACTAGGAAATAATTAACTCATTAATATAACATATACCTGAGATGAATTTTGTAAGGATAATTTCATTTTTCCATCTAATGTAGGTCTAAACTTGTTATCAACAAAATCAGCATTATGATCTTGAGTTGAATCTAAAAAGACTTCGAGTTATTTTTATGAAAAAATTAGGAAACATATCGAAGATGTAACCCATTATTGTAGAAATATAATCTGTTGTCCATTGTTCACAATCATCATATGAACCTGAAAATGGATGATAACATTCTAAAATAATGTCCATGGATAATAATTACAAACCTTTGAAAATAATTTTTCCTTTTCGATAGTGTCCTTCTATTTCAATAAAACAGATATCATTCATCGTTGTAAATTCAGGTGATTTGAAAATGGCTGACTGAGACACCGTAGAAACAATGCTGCTATTTTCCCACTGTACAGCATAAAAACTTTGATTCCCATTAGAAACTCGTTCTGTATCTGTATTGGAGTTTGACGTTAATATTAAATCAATAATTGAAATAAAGATCGAAAAAAAAAGAGATGACTAGATGTATAGTATATAGTTACTTGGTGTAGCAAATACAGGTTTCAAATGTTGGACCGTTGGAAGATCACTATGCAAAAGTTTTCCATTAGATCTGTAATGAATGAATGTAGCTGAACTACAGACAAGTATTTGAAATGGAAGATGTCGAACGGTTTTGACAAGCTTTCGTAATTCATATGGTGTGTTTTTTTCAATATTAACACCATTTATTTCAATGATTCGATCAAAGTTTTTAATACCTGCTCGATAGGCAAGGCTTGATTCACAATCACTAAGAAACTTGATATAATGAAAACGTTCTTTTCGATGATAGCGTTGAGAAAAGCCTAATCTTTCCTTTGAAATTGCATTCTGCATAGTACATAAGCGAATATCATCTTTCTCATAAACCAAGCTGATGTTCTCATCAATAGATGCTGAATCTGTATAATATATAATGAAAAATAGACAACATTCATTATCATAAAGTCAATAATTGTGCTCTCTCAAAAGAAGTATTAGTTGGAAAATAAAGTTTAATAGATTTATTCAGATAGAATCTATAGATTGACTGAATTAGGTTTGATATTTGTTGTACTAAATAGATTCATTAGGTTTATTTCAAATCAATTCTTAAGTGTTTTATTATGCAATTCGATTTGTCAGAATAGATAATTGTAACGATGAAGGTTCATCTTGCCTATACTATATTTTCTTTATTGTGTGTTTTATTCTTACTATGCACTTAGCTCTTACTCTAAGTTTTGTCCTTATCTTGTAGTATTATATTTCACACTGTTGTATTGTTTTAGTTGCTTGATTTTGGTGCTTGGATGTGTAGGCGTATACTTTGCATAGGGACAAGGCGATTGTATGGTATGAAGGATTAGAATAAAATGTAATTCTATCTGTACTAACGTTCCTTCTATCAGAAATTGTCACAGTAGTTTATTATACTGATCTTATATTGCATTTTTCTTATGTAAATGATGCTAACGACTTCAAAACTACTGTAAATTATTTGAAAACTAATGCAGTAGTTTTCTTCAAAATACCTGCTTAAATTTTTCATGATGGATTATTGTTTAACTACAAGTCTGTACTAATAATATATCCTTTAAGATGATTCATCATTTTCGAAGTTGTGCAATAACAACTCGTTGCAACTATTTCATACTTTTAGAATTAAGAAATAACGATGATTAGAACAAAAGATATTCGAGATTCAACATTTTGAAATACTTTTGTTTCAGAGATAAGCGAGTCGCAAGACTTTAGAATAATCTCAAGTTTCGTGAACTGGTTGGAAAATCTAGAACACATTGTTAGAGACTGTATTTTTCTGTAACAAGTACTTTTAAATCTGACTATGTATTGCTTTTCTTTTTTTCTGAAAATATTGTCGCAGAGAGTCGACAGAATCCAAATATTGAAGAGAACTCAAAAAAAAAAGTATTCAATAAAATTATCTTTTTTGATTTGTAGATCTGTCTGAATTCGAATATTTTAGACCACGATTAGCATTATTTTGTTTTTGAAAGCCTACTACCTTTCAGTTTTTCGGTCATTTACTTCAGTATCTGTAGATTTACCATAGGTTATTCATGAAAACCTTTCTTTTTGTTTATTTCTATTATCTAGTTTCATTAAGTGACTCATAGTAGCTACATTCGACACTAAGTACGAGCAAGAACTCAGAAGTTCGGGTTCTGTGCATGCCGAGTAATTAATATAGAAGAAAATCAGAGAAAATTTCGAAGTTTCTTTTTTTTCAAAGTATTCTTTAGGTACAAGAAAGCTTTTGACTTCTCAAAACCTCCTCAGGTAATGAAAGATATCTGTTGATATATACCAAATAGAAAAAGAATAGCGAAAATACTGAAAATCTTTGTCTGAAAAAGGAGTTCTCTCAAAGGGTAAAACTATTATTTACCTATGAAAAAAAAAGCATGATACAGCGAACTTAAAATTTAATCACTTTTCTATCTCTATCAAAATTATTTTCTGCTGCTATCACCTTTCTCTCCATCTCCCCTCGCCGCTCCTCCCCCTCCCTCCAAAAAAAAGGAAGTTGAAAAGGTATTTTTTTATTTACCATAATTTTCTTCAACCCACGTTCGAAGCATTTTGGGTGCATTAAAACCTTTTCCACGCATTCGTTTAATTTTGCCTCCATTATCAAGATATTTAATTGAGCGACTTAGTTCTGACAGATTGATATGTGCACTTGAAGATTTAATTTTTAAATCATTAAGTTTGCTAACAGGCACAAGAACATAAATCCATACGGGTTTTCCTCTACGATGTCCACGAATGATCTGCGCCGACTCATCTAGTGTTTGTTCTGTTATAGGCGTTTTAGGTCTATCGTCATAGCTTGTAAGTAGATTCTGAAAAAATAAAAAAGAATTTAATTAGGATCTTTTCTTTATTCATAAGAAGAATGAAATGTGATTTTTTTTTCTGATCCGTCTCTATTGAATCTCAGCACATTTTATTGCTTTAAAGTTCTGCAAAATGTTTTTTCGTAATTTAACAAAATATTAAAGAAATACATGAATATTGAATAAAGTTTTATTCGTTGATTTTTGATTTAATTCAAATTTTCTTCATAAACATTTTCTGAAAAAAAATCTTACCTGCAATTTTTCGAAATATTCCACCATCGAATAATATAATATGTATTTGAGTCTAAAATAACCAAGATGGTAAATATTAAAAAAATAAGGATTTTTCAATGAATTTCATTCAACACCGTCATTGGTAAGAATAATCAATTGATGTAGAAGAAAGATTATTATGTATAGAAAAATTTGAATATTATCAATGAGAAAAAGAGAATGGTGTTGACTCATCTCTTGCTTTTAATTTCTATCTATTTTCTCAACAAATCATTAAAAATAATCATTTGTTTCTGAAAAATGACTGCGAAATTTAACTTAACTGACGAGGATAATTTTTGATTAAATTTTTTAAGTCATAAAATTAAAAATGATAAAATTAAAAATCCTGATAAAAATGAAGTAGATGGCTATGAAAACATATTGTTTATGCTATGCGAAGTCTGCTGTGTACGAAAGCATACAAATGTGTTTTTTTATGTTCTGATAAAAATCTGTTCTTTTTTCGATGTAAACGAAAAGAAAAGAACATAATCAGAACACATGTTGAAAACGTACTTCACTTGATGATTCATCTCTTATAGTAGTTACCTAGCCTTTTTATCATTTTTTTATTCAGTAAGAAAGGTAAATTTTTTTTTTTGTGAGATGTCAATCCCACTTCTACTTCATTTCTATAGCTGTATCTTTCCCTTAAGAAATTATCCTTTTCATAACAACGAAACGCGTTATATAATTATATAGGGTGATAACAAGGGTTGGAAAATTCCTATAAACAATGAATAAGGAAAAATCCATGTATAGAACACAAAAAAAAGAAGAAGAATAGAACAAAATGGAAAATTCCAACAAATACAGAAAGAAAGGAAAAATCCATCGTACATGACTCACAATAAGAGAAAACAAGATGAACATATCATAACATTTTTCTTTTTATTAGATGAAATTACCTAAAAGAACTCATGGAATAAGGCATTCGTCATATATTTTTACTTTCAATGATAGAGAAACATGAAGTCTTTGTTTGTTTTCACTTTTGATGCATTTTCATTGTAATTATTTTGTCTTAAACAGATTATTCTGATGCGATGACTAAAAAACAATAGAAATTTGGTATCAATACTTTTCATAATTATATTTAACAACGTTTATTTCTTTAAATATC